TTCAGCAACAATTTTTTACCAGTGCTCATATTGCAATTTTTGCTGTTATCATTGCATGTTTTACCAGATCTCATATTGCAACTTTGTTGTTATCATTGCTTTTCTCTGGCACTCCTTATTACTGGTTCCCATATTGTATTTATTTCTATGCTTGGTCGGCTCAGGAGATTTTTTAGGCCACAAAAATCTCCTGAGCCAGCAAGCATTCTGAGACAGTCAGTCTAGGTCTGAAAAATATTGGCATATTATGTCAGTGCTGGTCTGAAATAAATTATAACCAGATGAGGCAATTTTGAATTTTTTTTGTATAATATATATATATATATATATATATATATATATATATATATATATATATATATATATATATATATAAATTGCAGTCGATATACCACATAATACCCCTGAGCTCTTAGCCTTGGAGCAGGTAGGATGGAGATCAACGTGTTTTAGTGGACTCAGCAGTTTTCAATCTGCTTGTCTGAATCAAGTTCAAGAAGCGAGAGCAAGATCTAAAAGGTCAGCCAAGCTAACAGTGATCTCATCTCACTATTCTCACTCTTGATCCATATGCAGCCTCCTTTGTAAATCACTAGCGGGTCTTAAGTGCCACTTAAAATTATCGCACAAAATTTCATAACTGAATCAATTAAATTGTCAGATCCTCATACGTCGAAACCGACGGGAGAGTCCATTATTAATATATAAAACAAATAAATCCTAATGAGCTAGGTACTACCTACCTAGGTTTCATCACATGGGATCATCAGGGTGATTATAGACGACACATTGACACTTGCCCTTGAGTGGGCAGTAAAGTCACTAAGACACAAGGTGTTACTATTGACTGTGGAAGAATTAGTAACAGAAACATAACTAATGAACAAGAACATAAAGTGTAATCAGGAGGACGCTAGATAGTAATTAATATTGCATTTAAATTTTTGAAGATTAAAGTTGGCTGGAAAGCATGGAACTGGAAGAGAGTTCCATTAGCAAGAAAGAAATACTGTGTTGTTTTCTCGCCAGTAACTATCTTATAAGTTTACCATTTGTGTCCTTGCTTTGAATATTGCTGGCACATCTAGTCAGATACTTCTGTTATGTATTTAGAGAATTTTGATAAAATTCAAAGAGGAATCTGGAATGTTATCGGTCATAGCCTGTCATCTCGGCTTCATTCTCTTTGTATGATGAATAATAAGATATATTTTAAGGTACTTAGCTTTGGAGTTGAATAGTTCTTTAAAATTGCCCAACTCTCATTAGAGGTTTATAATGTATCAGCGTGTAATTTGACACCGACTTTATTCAGACGCTTAGAACTCTGGGCTTTTCTGCCTCCTGCTTCTTTCTGCTTGTTCTCTCTCTCTCTCTCTCTCTCTCTCTCTGTGCCTCGATTCAACTTTCTCTGCCTATTTGTATCAAAAAGAGATTTCATATCGTCTTGTTACTTTTTTATCAGTTTGGAGGCCGCTCCCTTTTCCATTAGCCAAAATAAATTTTCTCATAGACTCGTTAAACTTTGCCTTGGACTTTTCTTCAGCCCAGAGCCAATCACTTTTTCTATTGGTCAAAATAAATTTTCATATAGGCTCGTTAAACTTTGCCTTAGTCTTTTCTTCAGCCTGGAGCCAATCACTTTTTCTATTGGTCAAAATAAATTTTCACATAGACTCGTTAAACTTTGCCCTGGTCTTTTCCTCAGTTCGAAGCCAATACCTTTTTTTATTGGTCAAAATAAATTTTCACCTTGGCTCTTTAAACTTTGCCTTAGTCTTTTCCTTAGCTCCGGATAAAAGAGAGATATTTTTATTTCGTATTCACCATAGTCTTAAAGGATGGAAACGCGTCGCACGAAAACTTTTTCCACTTTGTCATACATCTTTCGCCCATTAATCAGTTTGTATTTATATAAAACACATGACAATATCGCCATGTTGAAATTCATTCCCTTTCCTTTCGCCAATAGTAAAAATAGCGACTCGTTGTTTACATGCGTAAATTTTAGTTGAAACTGCTTTTAGTCTAAAAAGGAGCATTATCGCAACAATAAATTTCACACGTCACTCAATGAATCTCAAATGTTGCATCATAAGGAAACAGCTAATATTACCATTATCACGGGTAATATTTTTTAAGCTTTTCCCTAAGGAAGATGGGAATGCCACTAGCACGCAAGGGGTTACAGAGAGTGAGAGCAAGTGCAACAGGGGTTTTGGGGGAAAGGATAAAGAGAAGGACGGAGAACAAGATCAAGGCATCAGAAGATGTCGATTGACATTACATTTGAATATTTGAAGATTATAGTTATCAGGGAAGCAAATAAGAGGAAGGGAATTCCACTGGCAGGAAGTGCGAGAGAAGAAGCTGTTGGAGTAGAAGAGGCGGTTACATTTAACTTTTTCGACAGTGAAAGGGTGGTAACGAGATGCACACCTAGTAGCACGCTTAAATTCATGCAGTTGGGGTACCACTGAAAGGAGCTTGTCCTAACAGTTGCCATGAAAATATCTGTAGAAAAGATAGATTAAAGCCACGTTTGTAGCTGAGATGCGAGATCAGGATTTATCACATTGCATATTCGTCTCTGGATTTTGTCGACGACCTCAAAAAAAAAATATGTATATATATATATATATATATGCCCGTGGGGTCGTATATGCTGTCGAATTCAATCGACGTTTGCTTAAATTACAACGGTTCTTATTATAATCGAGTTCGTGTATCGGTCTCACTCAATAAAGACGTTTCGTCGTTTTTTATTGATTGACAATTCAACCAGTGAGGATGATGTTGTAAAGAAGAACTCTCTTGACAATAATGCTGATTGTGATGTCCCGAGGTAACTAAAGTAAAATGCTGATGATAATGTTTACGATTGGCAATAACGCTTAATATGACGAGGGAAGTGATAATACTAAAAATTGTGATGAAGTCTTTCCTGCTCCTTTTGAAATGAAAGTGTAATCTCGAAATCACTTTCTTTTTTTTTTTTAATTGTTGATGAGACAATAAATGGAGCCGATTCTACACCATTTACGCCGTCAGGCTCCGGAACAAATCGACGAGTCACGACGTTCGTGAGGCATACAACGAGCGCTTTAATAAAGGGAAGTAAGCAGGTATTGTGTGGAACTCTTTAGTAAAGCCCACCCGGGAAGAAGAAAAAAGCGTAAAAGAAAACAGAGCCGCTAGAGGGCGCAACATAGTGTATTCAAACAATCACGGCACCTACTGTAGGACGGGTCTTAATTGGAGTGCAACTTATTTCTTTTTCTAACATTACACACGACATTGTTATTTGTTTTTACATAAATTCTTCATCATTTATACTTCTTTAAAATTAGGTGCTTCCTTCTTTCTTTCTTTCTTTCTTTTTTCTTTCTTTCTTTCGTACTTTTATCATCCTTTCTTTTATCTTTCGTTCTTCTTTCTCTCTTTCTTTCGTTCATTCCTTATCCTTTTTTTTTTCTTTCGTTCGTTTTTTTTTCTTCGGTTTTTCTTTCGTTCTTTGCTCTTTCTTTCTTTTGTTTCTTGCCTTCTATTTTCTGTTATCCATTCCTTCTTTTTTTCTTTCGTTCTTTTTCTTTTTTCCTTTCTCTCATCCATTTTCTTTCTTTCTTTCTTTCTTTCTTTCTTTCTTTCTTTCTTTCTTTCTTTCTTTCTTTCTTTAGCTCATCAGTTTTCTTTCTTTCTTTCTTTCTTTCTTTTTTTCTTTCTTTCTTTCCTTTCTTCTGTTTAATTTCTTTCAATTTTTCTCCTTTTTTCTTTCTTTCCTCACCCCAATTTTTCAATTTCTTTCTTTCTTTCTTTCTTTCTTTCTTTCTTTCTTTCTTTCTTTCTTTCTCTCTGAGTCGTTTACTTGCTTTGTTCTTTTTCTTTCTTTTCTCACATCTGCTCATTTTTCAATTTATTTCTTTTTTTCTTCTTTCTTTTTTTCTCTCTTTTGTCCGCCTTTCTTTCTTTTTGCACAATTTGATTTTTGTTTGTTTCGTTGTATTTTCTGCTCCCTTTTGCCTTGTTTAAAGAAAATATATTTGTCATAGATGAAAGAAATGTGTATAGAGAAAGAAAGATTGACTAGAACGGATGAGAACGTTAGAAGGAAAAGAAGAAAAAGAAAAAAACGAAGAGGAAAGGAAACAAATAATAACGAATAAAGAAGAATTGGAAAAACTGGAAAGAAGAAGGAGGGAAAGAAAAGAAAAAAGGAAAGAGGCATTTGGAAAATGATTGGATAAAATTCAAAGAAAAAAAGAAAGAAAGAAAGGAAGAAAGGAAGAAAGAAAGAAAGGAAAAAAGGAAGAAAGAAAGGAAGGAAAGATAAAAATTAATAATTGATGTGTTAACAAGGAATGAGAGAAAAAGAAAGAAAAACAAGATTATTGGGAACGAATAAAGAAAAAAGAAAGAAAGAAAGAGAAAGAAAGAAAAAAAAAGAAAGAAAGAAAGAAAGAAAGAAAGGAAAGATGAAAATTAATAAATCAAATATTAACAAAGAATGAGAGAAAAAGAAATTAAAAAAGATGATTATTGAGAAGGAATAAAGAAAGAAAGAAGAAAGGAAGGACAGAAAAAAAGAGTTTAAAAGAAATCATTTTTGGAGAAAAAAAGTAAAAAAAAACAAAGAAAAACGCAAGGAAGGTAGAAAGAAAGAAAGAAAGAAAGAAAGAAAGAAAGAAAGAATAGATGAAAAAGAATAAATTAAATATGTACAAGGAATAAGAGAAAAAAAGAAAAAAAATGGATGATTGGAAATAAATAAATAAATGAATTCAGAAAGAAAGAGGAATTAAAAATGGAATAAAGAAACGAAGGAAATAAATAAAAGAGAAAAAGGATAGACATAAGAAAGAAAGAAAAAAATAAAAGATAAATCAAGGAAAAGAACGAAAGAAAGAAAGCAAGAAAGAAAGAAAGAAAGATAGAAAGAAAGAAAGAAAGAAAGAAAGAAAGAAAGAAAGAAAGAAGGTAATGATTGAAAAAAGAAAGAAGATCTAAAAGATAAAAAGAAGGAAAGTACAACACATATAAACGCAGCGAAAAGAAAACTATCTTAAAATCAAGAATAAACATTTAAAATAAACACAATCGACATGTCGGGTTGAAGGCAGGGATGAAAACATTTTTATTAATAACAAGAATAAAAGTTGGGATAAAAAGGCGTCTTAAAAGTGGTGGGCATTTACCATTTACATTTTACCACTGCAAGCTTCCCGCATTTTTTCGTTTTATATAATCAGTAGCCAAAAAAAAAAAACTGTATTTAAAAGGTTTCCTCTTTTTCAAAGTACGAAGACACAAAGGGGAAGTAAAGGCCTTGCTTAAGGCAGGAGGTGAGCCATTCCTGGGGCCTTGCGTGTCACAAGAAGTAGGAGGAAGAACGGAAATGCTTGGCACAACGGAAATTCATTTGCTAAGTCTTTTATTCAAATTTCATTCTTTTGGGGGGAAAGAAATGCTAAAATAATTCAATCTAAATGTTGTAGATGGTATGAAGGTTCGCTACCATTCTTTATCTCATTGCTATTTAGATTTTAATTAATTTCCACGCGCCTAAAAGAGAACAAGTGACAGCAAGGCTCTTCTGCACTTCAAGACTCTCCTCGGAATGTTTGCCATTTGCTTTTGTCTGATTTATTATGATTTCAATTCATATTTCAAATGCCTAATCACTGCAGGCTAATTCTGCCACTAATGATGGCAAAAAAATAATTGCTTTTATATTCATTTGGCTGGCCTGTTCTTTAGGAGAGATTCTAATCTGTGCTGGCACCATTTGTCGACAGAGGAAAATCTATGTAGATTGCATAGTTCTCAGTTGATCCCTGTTCCTACCCTACTATGTGTACTTATATTATAAAGTTCGGATAACGCTTATAGCTGGTGGTTAGTAAAACTGTAAGGAAAACGCAGGGACAAAAAGTTATGAGAAGAATGGTTTAATTATATGACAACATGGATTGAAAATACAATAGTTCATTGGGACAAGAGTACAATTAGAAAGCGCTATACTTTTGCAACTTACTTTTTGCCATTGTTCCATGAGCAGACGTTCTATTCCTTGTGGATGGACGAGTCCATGTTTCAATAATAATTTACAGAAGGTTAATCAGTCTTTTGACACAAATTATATAGGGTGTTCCAAAAGTCTTGGGAACATTTTGACATTGAATATCTCGAAGACTATATATATATATATATATATATATATATATATATATATATATATATAATAGTTATAAAAATGCGCTTGACATATTCTGAAAGAATTTAATCTCAAGTTTTCCATGTAATGTTCAAAGATGTTCAATGTGAGCACCGTTGGTCAAACGGCACACATCAAATCCGTCATCTTCCAGCTTCTCTTGCATTGCAATGCAAATGTCAAGACGAGTTGGTTTATCAGTGTCCTGCAACTGTTGGGTTAACTGTAGCTTGTAAGGTGTCATGTGCAGTCGTCTTTTTAAGACAAACAGATGTAGGAAGCTGAAGTTACTTACTGTCTCTTCTGATTGATTTACGGGGACTTCGTTCGAAGGCAGTTCGAACTCGCTCAGCCGTATCATCTGAAGCTGAGGGGCGTTCCGTTCTCTTAGCTGGGCGCAAATATCCATCCTTCATGAATTTACTATGCCGTATCAATATGGACTTCCTTTCTGGTGCCTCCTTTCGGAATTTTGTGCGAAAAGCACGTTGAAAAAGTGTCCATGAGTCAGTGTTTGTAAATTCAAGGACGCAAAACGCCTTTTCTAGTTGAGTGAACGCCATTACTGGATTTGAAAAAATATGAAAAAATCATTAACATTACAAAACACTTAACGAATTTAGCTTTAAAATGGTACTAGTTTCATCTTACTACCATTCATAGTTCAGTAGATATGATCACTTGAAATGTGTCCAAGACTTCTGGAACACCTTGTATATTTCTATGGATGGCATGCATAGCACAAAATCCGGTCAGGCATATCTAAAGTGTCTGTTATATACAACCGCTTTCTAAGATCAAAAGGCCTGAGGGTTTTTAGTAAAGGTCGTCTTTCTTTTGAGTTTTGTGAACGATGCTACAGAATCACAAGCAAAGAACTGTACTAAATAAGAGAAACCACATTAATTGAGGATTACCAACAGCGGCAACAACTAAAATGGATAGCACATGTAATTCGAAAAGAAAATAATTACACAATCAAGATGTTGACATTCAGCACCACTTCAAATAAAAGCTGAGGAAGGAAATCCCCATCTCCACTGCAAAGTGCTACTGGAGTTGACTGACCTGTTTTACATCAGAAATTGTTTTAAGAGAAATATATCAACCGAAAACTGCGCGATCAATGAATACCAAATGTTCCCTTATATTGTAAAGGCTAATATTACCATTATTAGTGTCGTCCCTATTTTGAATTAGATACGGTTCAGAATCGTTTACGATGCTTTGTTGTCGAGGGCGGGGAGCGATTTTCCAGCCTGCTGCCACCTCCCAACAGACGAAAAGGTCGCAAGACCATCACTACTAAATTCAAACTCTTTAAAAAAAAAGTGATAGGTCATGACACGAAGTTGTCTGCATACAAATCCTAGACAATTTCATTATGGAAAGATACAAATGGTTACAATTTTTTGTAAGATGTATAGAAGTCTGGTGTTCAAATTTCCTAATAAGAAAAGAGGTGGGGGTAATTTAGCACAACGCCAACCAGTTATATGCTCGTTCAGCCTCTTACATAAAATTTTGTAGTTGATAAATAAAATGCCCCTTTAAGAAACTGGTAAATAACTAAAAAGTTAGAAAAAAACAAAACAAAAAAAAAAAAAACAGATCAAAATACAGATAAGAAATAGAGGACGACTTTGGTAAATTAATATGCAATCGTTACATAAAGAACATCCGTACAAGATGTTAATAATACTGTGGCACCATGCATACCTAGCAAGCTGAAAAGAAATATTCATAAATATATGATTTGTTTTTACGGTTTGTCAACCATTTGATAATTATTTAGAGCTGAAAATATTTGGGTTTTGAGAATGGTTCTTTCTTTACGTTCAATCTAAAGAAAAAAGAGAAGACAGAAGAAAAAAGGAGAAAAATAAATAATACGAAACCAGGTCGTAAGCGAGAACACACACGCTCGACTGGCATATAACAGATGTCAAAAATATCAGGTCAAGCACCTGACCTCTTCCGTGTCCACGAAAAATGGAAGTTTGTTATCAAATGGTTGAAGAAACAAAGTTTAGGGACAATGGAAAAAAATATGATAGGTAACAGGTGGGAAGTGTATCTAAGGATATGAAGACAAACCATTAATACGAAAACACAGGCAATTCCAGAATTGAAAAAAAAAGCCAAAAGATGATGTTGGCTGAAAATGTTTTTTGAGATAATGAAGATTTTTGTTATCAAGCTTCGAGGAACGAAAAAGTGAAATATTTTTATTCGTTCACGAAAACGCCACCCAGTCTGAGAAATCCCTTTCATAGATCGTATCCAATTAGCGATAAACTGCTTGACAAATACCGCGTGTTAAAAAAACGGAGAGCGTCATTTCGGTCGCGTATGACAAGGGCAATTTAAATTTTTATTTTTTTTAAGCAAGGTGTTTCTTCCCCCAGAACAAAGCCACGGATTGTCCACGCCCGACTAAAGACATCATTGGCTAGATGGGATCACGTGGCGCACGAAGGAGGAGGAAAAATACCCGACCAGGACCTCATTGGCCAAGAGCGGTCACGTGACGCACGAGGAGAATCGGTCGACGCCCTTGTCAAAGGTGTAAGTGTGAGGGGCCGATACGAGGAAGCGGGGAAGCGGGTATACGCCCTCAGAGACACAATAAGGAAGTAGGGTGAAAGTGAATTACCGAAAATGGAAAAATCCCTAACCAGAAAAAAAAAAGGGTGGATACGTATTTAGAATTATCAAGAGAAAACCCTGGCGCCCAGATATTTTTTTTGACTGCGTCAATAAAAGCGGGACCACAACCGACAGAAATCAGAGTTTGCGCCGCGGACGGCGAATTTCGTCCCCCTAGCGGGCAGGAGAGGGCCAGCTCGTTTGGCCGAAGTGAAGCAGCTCGTTTGGCAGAAGTGAAGCAGCTCGTTTGGCCTAAGTGGAGAAGTTGGAATCAGAGCAAGCTGAAGAGAAGAAGTTTTCGCGCACTGACGGCGGAGATGAGTAACCAATTTCAGACTCTGAAGAGAAGAGAGATCAGCCGCGGACGGCGAGCGGATTGCATTTGAGCCGTGAACGACAAGCAGAGATGAGCACCCAGTGTTGAAACCGCGTCAAGATAGCTGACCAAGATTCACGCACACTTCTGGACTCTTCTTCAACCAAGAACAAGTAGTTTGAAGAGCGACTTAAATCATTCATAAGTTTTTTTTTTCGACTTTCGTCCAAGGACACGCCGAAACACAAATTTCTTAGAGAGCAGACAACTGGAAGCCTTAAAGTTGCCTAGTAAAAAGCGTTGTGCCAAATCCACAGAACGGGTCGGAGGTAGACATAGTCCTATGTACCGAGCAAATAGACATAAAAGTTTGTTACCTTTTTCTTGATACGTTGGACCTTGTGAGTTGTTATTTTATTTTTTTTATTATACATAAAATATCACCCCGTTAGATCAACTTGCATTATAAGCCCTATATCTCGTCTGTCTAAGATCAAGTCATGGGTAGGCAGACCGGAGATCAGTGCAGTTACCCTGGTAACCAGGCGTTGGAAGCGGGTTGGGAACGACGAGGTATCAATCTAACCAAAGGGTTAGAACGTCACGTTTTGGAGCAGCGAGGAGTGAACAGCTGACGCCGCAACAAAAAGACGTCATAACTGGTGCTGTCCGTGACCAGGATATCAGAGCCTGGGGAGCACGTGACGTCACAATTGGCGCCGCGAACGGGATCGAACGACACAGTCGACGCTGCGACCGGGGTAAGCTGTTAATAATACTAAATAACCTGTACATCCATATATTCTTTAGGTGAATTTAAATTT